GTACTGGGCATATACAGTTCACAATGACAATAGACAGTGTTTATAATGGAAATTTCCTAATTAAGGCTTTGAAAGTAAGTAGGAGGATCTTAAACTGGATGCGTTTCTTGACCGGCAACCAATGGAGATCACGCAGAACAAGCGACACATGCTCGCACTTAGCTTGACCACCAATCTGGCAGCAGAATTATGCCGACGCTGTATTACAAAATTAAATTTTGCCAGTTGGTAATCAAGCAAACCAATAAGTAAGGCGTGATCGATCCTACTGTAGATGTAAAAAATGCATGAAAAAGCCTCTCAGTGGTCACTTGGTCAAGATACTTCCGGATTTTTCCAATTCTATAAAGGGCAGAATTGGCAGAACTACAAATTGTGTTTAGGTGCTTGGCCGTTACTAATTTGGAGTCCATAGAGACACCAAGAACAGGCTACTGACAAGCACGGATGACTTTAATACGTTTTCTCATCTTTCAGTTTAAATTTGTTGTTTACCATCCAGTTTTTGATCTTCATACAGTAGGCCTATTTTCTCATTAACTGCAAATGTTTGTAAATCATCAAAAGAGTGTGACCATGCACCTCCAGCTATTATTATTCTTGATCCAAATTTGTCATCATAATCATTATAAAAATGGTTTATTATTATGTTTATAATTACACAGTATTACCATTATTATCATAATTTGCATTCAATATAACAGCTTATTAAAGATTCATACAAAATTACTAACTTCATCAGTATAATTACTAACAATTATAATTATTTCAACTGCATAGGGCTACTAGTACTATATAGTACATGAGAACATAGTGCTAATATAAATTATGTCACAAGCCAGTGGCATACATTAAAGGGTTTACATGTGGATGCACACCATCCCCCAAAAAGATCCCTACCCGTGCTTCCCCCACCACACAGGAAATATTTGAAGCAAAAAAAATATGTTGAAGTAGTTGAAAATCACATCATAACACTATGTTACCAGCTATAGCACCCCTTCACTTCATCAAGCCCTCCAACTTCACATTCGTGCCCTCACCACCCAAATATCAGCCCTCCCAATTCAACTAATCAAAATTATTAACCACTTACAGGATTATATCAAGATGGCTACAAGTAAATCAAATCAGTTTCCGGAAGACACTGATGAGGAAGTCCTAGGATGTGCCATATGCTTCAAGAGTCGCAGCAAATCAAAATTCCTGAACTGCCAGCATAGTTTCTGTTTGGCCTGTCTGGAAGACTGGGTTAAGAAGAAGGGTAAGCTTACTTGTCCCACTTGCACAAAATCGTATTCTATTCCAGAGAGTGGATTTCAGAAGCTTCCACCTCTGATTAACTCGGAACATTATGATAAACCAGCTAGAGATCACACCACAAAATGTGTTTGTGGCAAAGCAGAAGAATACTACTGCCAGGATTGCAGACATTATTTGTGCTGTGCTTGTAGAAATTATCATAAAATATTGCCAATGATGGCAAATCATAAGCTACATACAGTGGAAGATGTCCGCTCAATGAATCCACAGGACTTTGCTTTGTTAAATCCTCTGTTGTGTTTACATCACTCTAAACCTTTGGAGCTGTACTGCCAAGATTGTAAAACTGCAATATGCATTCATTGCATATATACAGAACACAAGGAATGTACAACCAAAGCAATCAGCATATCAGATGCATTCAAAACATTTAAAGAAACCTCAGCAACATTGGAGGAAGCTGCCAATCACTATGAAAAAAAATTACAAGAAGGCCTTGAAGCAGTTGTTCAAACATCTAAAAAATTAGAAGAAAGTAAAGAGACAAGTTTGCACGATATTGACAGTCTTGTGCAAGAAATGATTGAAACGATCATGAATAAAGGAGATGAAATGAAAAATAATGTAGAGATAATCTACAAACAGAAAAAGCAAGTAAATGATGTACAAATGGATGAATTGAAAACAATAATATCTGATGTAAATACAAAATTGTGTTTTTTTAAACAGTTAATAAAAAGTGATGATGCAACAGCAATGGTATCAAGTGAAAGTGTAGTTAAAGCACTGGAAGACAGAGTCAATGAAATGCCCAAAACAGAGCCAAATGATAATGGACACATTTTCTTTTTTGTGAACCAACCCCACATTTCTTCTTTGCAGCAATGTGACGTAGGAAATGTAACACAATCAATGGCAGACGGTCTAACATTAAAGAAGGTGGAATCTGTGACCCAAGGTCAAGCAATTGTTGCCAAAATAATTAAAGCAGATAAATGTAATATAGATGAAAATCAACTGAAGGCAACATGGACACATCCTACAGGAGAAACCAACATCACCCAAGTTGATGAAGGTGAAAATGGAGATTATGTTTTGAAAGGAAAATGCACAGGTCCAGGTGTTTGTAGACTTGATGTGAGTGTTGATGGTAAACCAGTTAACCAGTCACCAATGATAATCAAAGTAGAACCAGATGGATTAGTAAATACCATTCAAACAAATGCAGAAGGTTTTTCTGGTCTAGTTAAGTGTGAAGGTGATTGCTTGTTGGTTTCATGTCACAAAAACGAAATACACAAGTACAAGCAATCTGGAGAATATATTAGTAAGGTTACACTCCCTGAAGGTGTGAAAATATATGGACTATGCAAAATGAAGAATGGTAAAATAGCAGTCAGTGATGATGGCAACAAATGCATCACAATAGTTAAGATGAATGGTGAGGTGATCAAATCAATTGGTCAGGGAGTATTGGAGGGTCCAGCTGGGATCCATGTGGATGAGGCATCAAATGTTGTGTATGTAGCTGATTGGGATAATGAATGTGTATTTATGTTTGACATTGACAGTGGCCAGATGATCAGAGAGATAACACAACAAGGCAATAAAATAAGAGCCATTGATGTTACGCTTACAAATCAAGGACATATTCTTGTATTAGAGAGTGATCTTGATGAGTCTTGCTACAATAAATTATATCAATTTGATGATAAAGGAAGGTTCATAAAAGTTCTTGTTAAAGGTGATGAAAGGGGTATGGTTGATTTTAGAGGAGTAGTAGTTGATGAGGATGACAACATCATTTTATCAAATCATAAGAATCTAGAGTTTTTTAGTAGTGATGGAAATTTCATTAAAAGAATCGACAATAATCCAGAAGATAAAATCCAGGATTTATTTGGGTTATCTATAATTTCATATCATCCACGAAGGGTTGCAGTAGCAAATAATCGTGATAGAACTTTAAAAATATATAATTACTAAAGTGTACTTGTTAAGTCTACACGTACTGCTCCCAATTTCTAGATATACTAACTGTAAGTTATAGATAGATCCTTTAACACAGGGGTCTCAAGTTGCTTTATGTATTTGGAATGATGGGTGATTTATCATCACTATGGAAATAGTGTATTTAATACTGGATAATAACATGTCAATACTTAGTAATGTAAAAAAAAAAAGCTGTATTTTGTCAACTTACAAGTTATCATGACCTCGTCTGCCATAAAACATTCTGATGAAGTGGCATTTTCTCAACTTCAGACAAATTTAGATCTTAGCCCATGAAAGAAAAAAACTATATTTTATATATTCAGTTATTGGTTCATTTAAGATTTCAATATAAAGCCGGCATCTTTGTTCATGGAATCTATATTTTAAATAAAATTGTTATCGGTAGATTTTCTGTCCATTCTATAATCAGGTGGTACTGGGGAGAGAATTGATTTCCTGTTCCACAACAAGACATCCATTCAGAAGCCTTTGTGAAGAAAGCTTTCCAGTGGTGGCATAGGTGGCCAGGATCAGCTAACTTTGGATTTGAATTTAGAAAGGTTGAATTGTGTTAAATTGAGTACAATGTCCACAATGTTCTAGGCCTAGTATTAAATATATTTTAATTATTCAAATTAATTAGGTCGGGATAAGTTAGATTACAATAATATAACATTACTTTTAATTATTAATGTGTACATTGTTGATAGTAAAAATTTCATAAATTTTTAACTGTTTTTTTGTATCCACCTAACTTGTGTATTTTATATTTATGACTTGTCCTTAGTTTAGCTGCTGTATCGATTGTGTAGTACCCTGTAGGCTGTTTGTGAGCAACTGCTATTAGAAGCACCTGTAAATGCCCAGATATGGCACTGGGGTTACTATAAATACTTTTTCCAAGCTGTGTTTCCTGAGGAGATGATTGGTTTCCTCTCCAACGAGGATCGGGTTCCCCACACACATTGCTTGGAATTTTCCAAGTGGAATATATAGGGCTCACCTCTTG